AACCTTGTAGTTGGTGTTAAAAATTTGATATAGAAGCTGACTTGCCCCAAACGGTAGAGTTAGAAACATACCAGGGGATTCCAATTCAATCCCATCAAGGTGGCATGTACCAGTGCCATCTCACTAGTCCAAGTGATCAATTTCTGTTCACAATTGATCATAATGATAGGACTAAGAGTCTAAGGGATCACATTAACAAAACTAGTGTCTGCAAATACTAACTGATAGAATAAAAAAGGGAGAGAACGATCTAACATGGGAAGCGAGATACACAGAAGACTCATAGAATGGCAGATGTCCTAAACAGCACTCTGGCCTCAGAATCAGCCCTTAAGGCATGCGGATCTGGCTGAAAAGCCCATGAGAGTATTACAGGCATGGAAAGCCAAGATACTCTATCAAAAAAAAAAAAAAAATGACCTAAATGAAAGATCTCTGTGAATGAGATCCCAGTGGAAAGAACAGGTCATCAAAGAAGGAGGTACCTTTCTCTGAAGGGAGGAGAGAACTTCCACTTTGACTACGACCTTGTCTAAATATGATCAGAGTCGGTGAACTCAGGGGGCTTCCATAGCCTTGGCAGCTCATGACAAGAGCCTAGGGTGATTACTGATGCCATGAACAAGAGTGTCAATTTGTTAAGTCAACAACAGGAGTCACTGTGCACTCACTCCTCATGTAGGATCTCTGTCCTTAGTGTGCTGTACAGTGTGATATAATGCTATAACTAGTACTCAAATAGTATTCTACACTTTGTGTTTCTGTGTGGGTGCAAACTGTTGAAATCTTTACTTAATGTATGCTAAACTGATCTTCTGTATATAAAGAGAATTGAAAATGAATCCATGTGAATGGAAGGGAAGAGGGAGCGGGAGATGGGATGGTTGCAGGTGGGAGGGAAGTTATGGGGGGGAAGCCATTGTAATCCATAAGCTGTACTTTGGAAATTTATATTCATTAAATAAAAGTTAAAAAAAATAAAAAAAATTTGATATAGAGCTCCCTGAAAGCTCTTTTCTTCCGTGTATGTACATATGTAACTTCTCCAGCTATGGAATTGTGTATATGCAGCTATGTAAATATATATATGTATATGCACACACATATGTATTATGTATGCAGCTATGTTAAATGCTTCTCTCCCACGCACACTTAATTTATTTTGACTGTCCTTATTAAAAAAGGTGAAATTATTTTTAGCACTTAAACATTATCAGCTAACTTATTAATGTATTTTTTCCAGGCTTTTAAAAATGCATTTCTGTCTGGAATATTCCCTCATGTTCATATGTTTTTGTTCTTTTCTGATACTTTTTTATGGTAAATTCTCAGTAGAAGGTCTTATCTGTGTTGAAATTTATATGCCTGTTCCCAGATTGCCCTTTAGAAAGAGTTTTTATCAGCTTATATGACTTCAAAATTATGTGAATCTTTCCCTCTGCTTACACCAATCTTTCAAATATCTGCCAATATGGTAATTTTAAAAATCCGAAAACCATTTTTATTTCTTTAATTACTATGAGATTGAACAGCTTTTCTTAACTTTGTTTTCCATTCCATTTACTCCCAGCCTATTTGTGCTATTTGTGAATATTCCTAACTAATAAATAATAGATTTATACTTGTGAGGATATGCAGTGGACTGGTTGCTCATTTTCATAATGTTTTAGGTAGGACTTTAAGTTCAATCAGATTGGTTCTTAACTGATTGAAGAAAAACATTTTGGTATAGATTGTAGACCACACATCAGAATCAGAAAAGAATTAGGGACAGAATACCTTCATCTGGTGATTTAATGTTAGAGCATTTAACCAGATGACTTAAAGTAAATTGCATTATGAGGTTTAGAAACTACAAAGATTTAAATGGCTGTTCTGGACCTGAAAGCTGGAATGTTTCTTTTTGGTCAATATTCCACAATTAATTTAAATGTATATGGCTTTTAAGGAGGCTTTTATATTTTACACTTTTTTTTTAATTAAATGGCTTCAAAGGTTAGAGCTGGGCTGATCTGAATCCAGGAGCATGGAACTTCTTCCAGGTCTCGCATGTAAGTGCAAGGGCCCAAGTGCTTGGGCTATCTTCTGATGCTTTCCCAAGCACATTAGTAGGTAGCTGGATGGGAAGTGGAGCAGCCAGGACTTGAACCTGTGCCCATATGGGATGCCGGCACCTCAGGCAGAGGCTTAATCCACTACATCATAGTGCCAGTCCCTTCTTACATCTATAAAACCCAAATTTAACTGGTAAACTATATAAAGCTTCAAAATTATATTAGTATGGAGTAATGTTTTATTAAAACCAAATCATTAATGTTGGCATTAATACAATAGAAGTAGGTTCAGGTCTGGCTTCATGTTAATCTGTTTACTTATTTTGATTTTAATTTGATATAGAGAATGACCGTTCCTAAAATGTGGCTGAAAATGGTGTAATTAATTTTATGCATATGTTTGTCATTTTGGGATCTTGAGGTTTAAACTGCCAGAGGCATCCTTTGTGTGTCAGTGCTATAGGGTATCCCTTGATAATTCTGTAAAGCTGTCTTGTTTCAAAGTGTCTGTGATGTTATTTGGGGGTTGAACCAACGGAAAGAGGAAGACCTTTCTCTCTGTCTCTTTCTCTCTCACTGTCTAACTCTGCCTGTCAAAAAAAAAAAAAAAAAATCACTGTTAGGCATTAGTAAAGATTTTTGCTACTGCAACCTTTATATTAAATCAACAGATTTAAAATAATCACCCTTTCCTGTGCCCTTTCAGAGCTGACAGAGTGCTCTGAGAGGCTAACACAGAAAGGGAAAGTAAGTCTCCATAAAACCCAGAGAAGAGATGGTCGTTTCTTCTTTGGATCCTGTCTGGAGTCACAAATGCAAAAAAAAAAAAAAAAAAAAAGCAAAAATAAATAAATAAATCAACAGATTTAAAATAATCCTTTCTAATTATTTTAAAAATGTCTAAGTACTTATTTATTTTTTCACTTAATGTGTAATAGGTAGTTTAAACTGGCACTGGTTGATGTGTATGCTTTGAATGGCATTGTAGTAGACATTGAAAAAAATGAAGTGATGGGTAAAACTGACAATGGCAAATAAAATTATGTGAAAATTGACATGGTAAATGAAAATAAACATTGGGAGAACACTGTAAAGAGGCAGATTGGCTAAAAATAAAAATTTAATGTAACTCAAAAGGGCATATGGAAGCAAGAGTAGGAAAATACCATGCTGTTAAATTTTTACCAAAAGAAATAAAACAAATCCAATTAAAAATGCAAAATAATTTAAAATTTTAAGTAATTATGTTATAGAAGGAAAAATTAATTAAAAATTTCATTTTTTAGAAACAAATATTTGGGGTAGAGGGCAAAGGGAGAGACAGAGAGAGAGAGAAAGATCTTCCATCCACTGGTTCGCTCTCCAAGTGTGTGCAATGACCAGGGCTAAACAAGGCAGAAGCCAGGAGCTTCCTCTGTGTCTCCCACATGGGTAACAGGGGCTCAAGCACTTGGGCCATCCTCCACTACTTTCCCAGGCACATTAGCAGGGAGTTGGATTGGAAGTGAATCAGCTGGGACATGAAACAGCACCCATGTGGGATGCTGGTGCTGCAGGCTGTGACTTAACCTGCTATGCCACAGCACCAACCTTATTTGTTTCTTCTTAATGATATTATCTTTAATAATACTATCATTTGTGTCTCTTATTGATTTCCTCATTGCTTTAATCTATCTGTATTCTCTTTCATCTCATTGAGTTTCCTTTCAGTCATTATTTTGAATTCTGTGTCTCGTCTCATAGATTGCCTTTAGTTCAGGATATAATCCTGGAGGAGTATATCATGCAAGCTCGTTTCTTCCCATCTCCTGTGTCCCTACATTGACATCTGTGCATCTGGTTTAATTGTCACTTCTTCTTTATGTAGTATTTAGTTGAGTTTGTCTGCTTTGCTTTGGCAAAATTTAACAACATGCTATTTCTCTACTCTTGGTTCCATTTGCCCTTTAGAATTACATGAAATTTTTATTTTGGGGACTCTGCCTTTCAAAAAATATAGTAAGAGAAAGTTAAATATAAAGGAAAACCAGTTAGACTAACATCAGACGTCTCAGTGGAAACCCTATAGGCCAAAAGAGAGTGGGGTGATACATTTAAGATCTTAAAAAAAAAACTTTCAACCAAGAATATTGTATCTAATGAAGCTATCCTTCAAAAGTGAAGGAGAGGCCGGTGCCGTGGCTCACTTGGCTAATCCTCTGCTTGTGGCGCCGGAACCCCAGGTTCTAGTCCCGGTTGGGGCACCAGATTCTGACCTGGTTGTTCCTCTTCCAATTCAGCTTTCTGCTGTGGCCTGGGAAGACAGTGGAGGATTGCCCAAATGCTTGGGCCCTGCACCCACATGGGAGACTGGGAGGAAGCACCTACCTGGCTCCTGGCTTCGGATTGGCGCAGAGCATCGGCTGTAGCAGCCATTTGGGGGGGGGGGTGAACCAACGGAAGGAAGACTTTTCTCAATGTCTTTCTCTCTCACTGTCTAACTCTGCCTGTCCAAAAAAAAAAAAAAAGTGACGGAGAAATAAGGTATTTTCCAGATAAGCAAAAACTGAGAGAATTCACCACCACCAGAGCAGTCCTACAAGAAATTTTGGAGGGTGTCCTGCATTCAAAGTAAATATGAAAATATATTACACCACCAAAGTCACTAACAGAGCAGGTAGAATTAGTAGCTAAGCAACAGACAAGTCTTAGTTCTTATCTATCAGTACTAACATTGAATATAAATGGATTAAATTTTCCCACTAGAAGACTTAGGTTGGCTGAATGGATAAATAACTAAGACCCCACTATATGCTTCCAACAGGAAACTCACTTCACAAACAAAGATACACATAGATGGAAAGTGAAGGACTGGAAAAAGATATACCAGGCAAATGGAACCCAAAAATGAGCAGGCATAGTTCTCTGGATATCAGGTAAAACAAATTTTAAATCAAAAACTGAAAAAGAGATAAGGAAGGCATTACATTTTATTACAAGGTACAATTCAGCAAGAAGGCATAGCAATCTTAAATGTATATGCACCCAACATAAGACTACCCAGATATATTCAGCAAATACTATTAGACTTAAAAGGAGAAATAGACTTCAATAAAATAATAGTGGGTGACTTCAACACCCACTCTCATCAATGGACAGAACCTCCAGACAAAATATAAAGATACATTGAAGTTGAAACATGCTTACTGAGCAAATAAACCTGACATTTATGGGACATTTCATCCAATAGCTACAGATGCACATCTTCTCATCAGCACATGGAACATATTCTAGGGTAGATCACATATTAGGCCACAAAGTCTCTGCAAATATAAAAAGATTAGAATCATATCAAGTATCTTCTCAGACCATAAAGGAATAAAACTAGAAATAAACAAGAAGAACAATGAAACATTCATAAATATTCAGAAATTAAACAACATTCTACTGAATGATCAATGGGTCATTGAATAAGTTAAAAAGGAAATAAAAAACTTTCTTGAAATAATTGTATTTTTTTAAGATTTATTTTTCATTTGAAACAGAGAGTGAAACAGAGCTCTTCCATCTGCAGGTTCACTCCCCAAATGGCCACAATAATTGGAGCTGGAGCCATCTGGAGCCAGGAGCCAGGAGCTTCTTTCAGGTTTCCCATGTGGATTCAGGGCCATCATCCCCTGCTTCCCCAGGCCACTAGCAAGGAGTTAGATTGGAAGCTGAGCAGCCGAGATTCAAACTGGTGCCCATATGGGATTCCAGTGCTGCAGGAGGATGCCGCACCAATGACATTCTTTACAGAATTAGAGAAAGCAATCATAGGATTCATATGGAATCACAAAAGATCCAGGACAGTCAAAGCGATCTGAGCAAGAAAAATTAAACTGGATTGGGGCCAGTGCTGTGGTGCATTGGGTTAAGCCATTGCTTATAGCACTGCCATCCCATGTATGTGCCAGTTCAAGTCCTGCTGCTCCACTTCCAATCCTACTCCCAGCTAATGTGCCTGGGAAATCAGCAAAAGATGGCAATGCATATGGGAGATCTAGAAGAAGCTCCTGGCTTTCAACTGGCCCAGCCACAGTCATTGCTACCATTTGGGGAGAAAACCACTGGATAGAAGATTCTATCTCGCTCTCTCAGTCTCTAACTCTGCCTTTCAATTAAAAAAAAAAAAAAGCCAGAGGCATTAAATTGCATGACTTCAAAGCATACTACAAAGCTATAATAATTAAAATAGCATGGTACTGCCATAAAAACTGATACATAGGTCAGTGGAACAGAATAGAGAGCCCAGAAATTAATCCATGTGCATACAACCAACTGATTTTTAAGAAAAGTGCTCATGCCATACAGTAGAATAAGGATAATCTCTTAAACAAATGGTTCTGGCAAAACTATATATATATATATATATATATATATATATATACACACACACACACATACACACACATATATACACACATACATACAAATATATGTGTGTGTGTGTGTGTGTGTGTAAAAGAATGAAATTAGATCCTTACCTCTCACCGTATACAAAATCAGTCAAGATGAATAAAAACCTAAGTTTAAGATCTGGGACTATGAGTTGCTGGAAGAAAATGAAGAGGGAATGTTTCAAGACATTGATGTAGGGAGTACCTTCTTGGATAAGACTTCCAAGGCAACAAAAGCAAAACTAAACAAATAGGACTATTTCAAACCCAGAGACTTTTGCACAGCAAAAGAAATAATCACAGAGCCAGCGCTGTGGCACAGTGGGTTAACGCCTTGACCTGAAGCACCAGCATCCCATATGGGCACCAGTTCTAGTCCTAGCTGCTCCTCTTCCGATCCAGCTCTCTGCTATGGCCTGGGATAGCAGTAGAAGATAGCCCAAGTCCTTGGGCCCTTGCACCCATGTAGGAGACTTGGAAGAAGCTCTTGGCTCCTGGTTTCGGATCGGCGCAGCTCTGGCTGTTGCGGCCAACTGGGGAGTGAACCAGCGGATGGAAGCCTTCTCTCTCTACTCTACTTCTTTCTGTAACTCTGTCTTTCAAATAAATAAAATAAATCTTAAAAAAAAGAGAAATAATCAGGAGAGTGAAGAGCCATCCAACAGAATGAGAAAATAATACTTGCAAGCTGCCTGACAAAGGATTAATATCCCGACTATATCAGCAACTTAAAAAACTCACCATTAAAAATCAACCAATCCATTTAAGAGACTGGCAAAGGACCTCAGCAGACAGTTCTCAAAATAACACAGTGGCCAAAAAATATATGAAAAACTATCACCATCACTAGCCATCAGGGAAATCCAAATCAAAACCACAATGAGATATCACCTCACTTGTGTCAGAATGTCTAAAATCCAAAACACAGTAACAATGTTGGCAAGGATGTGGAGAAAGGGGAACACTTACACACTGTTGGTAAGAATGTAATTTATTGCAGTCACTGGAAAACAGTGTAAAGAGTTCCTAAAAAACTAGAAGTAGACTTGCCCTATGACCCAGCAATCCCACTACTGTGTATGCACCCAGAAGACATGCATACCTTGTGTCAGAGATACTTTATGCACCACCGTGTTTGTAAGCAGCACTATTCACAGTAGCCAAAATATGGATTCAACCAAACTTTCCATCATAAGATGCATGGATAAAGGAAATGTGATCTATGTCAGTAGGGTATTGTTCAGCTGTGAAAACAGAATGAAATTATACCATTTGTAGTAAAATGGGTGCAACTGGAGGACATAATGTTGCGTGAAATAAGCTGGACACAAAGGCAAATTCCACATGTTCTGCCTTACATGTAGGAGCTAAAATTTAAACAACAACAACAAAAAACAATGCCTGTATGTTTAGTATTACTGTAAATATAGTTCTGTGAAACTGCTTTGTAGCCTTGTCAGACCAGTCATTGGAATGTTATACTATTAATTTTAATGATTTGTGATTACTTTAAAATTTATTCTAAATGAGTGAAATGGTCTTTTTTTCATTCAATTGTTTATAGCTACCGTCTGTATTCCTACTAAACTAGGATCATTTTTTTTGTTTACTTGCTAAACTTCATTGAAATATCACGCCTTTTACCATAATATAAATGTAAAATATGTTATCTCAAAAACAAACAAAAAAATATAGGGGAGGAGGAGTAGAAGAGGAGGAAGGAAGGGATGTTTTTAGAATTGTATTTACAAACCATATTGACTCTGTTAAAAACTAGTTAAAATTAAAACAAATTTCCATGAGCACATTCTACTTATATTGTTTTATAATCTGATCAGTTAGACTTTCTCTGAGTTCCAGTTCTCAGCTAAAACATGTATAGGAAATCTTAGAATCCTGTCTGTCAAATATGCCAGAGCAGAGTGTTGAGATTTGAAGATAAACAGATACATTTAATAGTTTTTTAAAAAGATTTATTTCTTTATTTGAAAGAGTTAGGGAGGCAGAGATCGATTCACCTTCCATCTACTTGTTTGCTCTTCTAATGGCTGTAAAGGCCAGGCCAAAGCCAGGAGCTTCATCTGGATCTCCCCCATGGGTGCCGGGGCCCAAGTATTTGGCCCATCTTCTGCTTTTTTCAGTATCAGGGAGCTGAATTGGAAATGGAGCAGCTGGACATGAACTGGCACCCTTACAGGCTTTACCCACTATGCCACAATGTGGGCCCCTATATTTAACATTTTTAACACCACAACAATAGTTTCAAAACCAAATATCCAGAAGCAGAAAACAGTTCTTCAGGTAGAGGAAGCTTCAAAATCAGCATTGAATTGATGCACATGTCATATGTGTTTTTTGGTGAATCTAAGATCTCATTACTTTTCATTATTTTGGGACTGGTACTGTGTCGCAATGGGTTAAACCTTTGCCGCACAGAGCTGGTGTCCCATTTGGCTCTGGTTGGAGTTCTGGCTGCTCTACTTCCAATCCAGCTGCCTGCTAATGCACTTGGGAAGACAGCAGAAGATGGCCCAAATCCTTGGGCCCCTGCATCCATGTGGGAGACTCCCATGAAGCTCCAGCTCCTGGCTTTGGCCTGAGCCCTTGTTGTTGTGGCCATTTGGGGAAGTGAACCAGTGGATGGAAGATCTGATCTCTCTTGCTGTTTCTCTCTCTGCCTCTGTAACTGTTTGAAATAAATACATCTTTAAAAAAATATTTTAAACAGAAAAACCTTTTTTGCTCTATGTGTATTTTTCACAAAGTAAAAAAAAAAACCCTGCCCACTCAAAGAAATATATATTAATTTGTTGCATGTTTTCCTTTGTAGGCCCCGATTATTCATCAGCATGGTTACCTGGTAATGAATCATTGTGGCAGGCCACAGCTGTTCCATCTAACCATCGAAATAACCATATCAGGAGACATAGTATAGCTTCTGACAGTGGAGACACCGGCATTGGAACTTCCTGTTCTGACAGTGTGGAAGGTGAGCTGAAATTCTCAATATTTAGATATGGTTGTTTAAAGAATGGTTTTGTATGAGAATATTTGGTATGATTTGTTGTTTCAAAATAAAAATTATGAAGTAATGTTTTCACACTTAGTAATGTTCAGTGTTGCTATATATCAAATGAAAATGTCCCTCTGGTTATATTGTAATTTTTATTCATTTAAAAAAAAACTGTGAGATAATTAAAAGTGCTCCTGCACTTTTAAGAAGTAATACAGAGAAATTCTACATACAGTTTATCCATTTTGTTTCACAGCAATGTCTTTCAAGACTACAGAGTAGTATCACAACTAAGATATTACCATTGGCAGAGCTGAGACACCGAACATCTCCAGATACTTCATATTGCCCATGGTTGCTGCTTTTCCTTCCCCTTGATTATCCCTTAATTTTTAGAAACTACCCTTCTGTTCTCCATTTGTATAGTTTGTCATTTCAAGGATGCTGTATAAATGGAATCATAGAGTACATAGACTTTTTGAATTGGCTTTTTCCTATGGAGATTGGTCCAAGTTGTTATGTGTATAAATAGTTCATTCCTGTTTTATTGATGAATAGTATTCAGCAGGGGTGGTATTTAGCCTTTGGCCCAGTTTTTACTATTATGAGTAGAGCTGCTATGAATGTACATGTACAGTTTTTTTTTTTTAATTTAAGGATTTATTTATTCATTTAAAAGGCAGAATTACAGAGAAAGAGAGAGAGAGAGAAAGAGAGACGTGTGTCTTCCATCTGCTGGTTCACTCTCTAGATGGCCGCAATTGCTGGAGATAGCCTATCCGAAGCCAGGAGCTTTTTTCGGGTCTCCCATGCGGGTGCAGGGGCCCAAGGACGTGGACCATCTTCTGCTGCTTTCCCAGTCCATAGCAGAGAGCCATATGGGTAGTGGAGCAGCCGGGTCTCGAACTGGTGCCATATAGGATGCCGACACTGCAGGCAGCAGCCTTACCCTCTACACCACAGCGCTGGCCCCCTTGTACAGGTTTTATGTGGACATATTGTCTTTATTTCTCTGGGGTAGATGCCCAGTAGTGTTAGATTTTTTGCCTATTAGTATTCCTTGTAATTTTTTGCTTCTTGTGAAAGATGGTAATGACACACTGGGTAAATGGAGCTGTGGTGAATGGTCTTTTAGTAAGTGAGGGAGTAAGAGCGGGGGAGGGGTCCTGTGACTGGGTCTCAGGTTTGGCGAGTTCATGTTCCTGGGTTGTGAACTTTTAAGTGGTTCTCAGTTATTAAATTTTTATTTTCACCATCTTGAGTCGGATAGGATAGGTAGAGGGAGCTGGAGTTAGGAATTTCCCTTTCTACACATGGAAGGCTAGAGTTGGCTAGTTTCTTATTTCTCTTCCTTTAGGACAGTTAGACTCTGGTAAAACTCAGCAGACTAACCTCTGGTAAAGCAGGACAGACCCTGTAAAGAACACAGTACTCTGGTGTATCTTTTTAAACTTTTATTTAATAAATATAAATTTCAAAAGTACAGCTTTTGGATTACAGTGGCTTTTTCCCCCTCATAACTTCCCTCCCACCTGCAACCCTCCCATCTCCCGCTCCCTCTCCCCTTCCATTCACATCAAGATTCATTTTCAATTATCCTTATATACAGAAGATCAATTTAGTATATATTAAGTAAAGATTTCAACAGTTTGCACCCACACAGAAACACAAAGTGAAAAATACTAGTTATAGTGAAAAGTACTAGTTATAGCATTACTTCACATTGTACAACACATTAAAGACAGAGATCCTACATGGGAAGTAAGTGCACAGTGACTCCTGTTGTTGACTTAACAAATTGACACTCTTGTTTATGGAGTCAGTAATCACCCTAGGCTCTTGTCATGAGTTGCCAAGGCTATGGAAGCCTTTTGAGTTTGCCAACTCCGATCTTATTGAGACAAGGTCATAGTCAAAGTGGAAGTTCTCTCCTCCCTTCAGAGAACGGTACCTCCTTCTTTGATGGCCCATTCTTTCCATTGGGATCTCACTCACAGAGATCTTTCATTTAGGTCTTTTTTTTTTTTTTTTTTTTTTCCCCAGAGTGTCTTGGCTTTCCATGCCTGAAATACTCTGATGGGCTCTTCAGCCAGATCTACTCTGGTGTATTTCAAATGGTTCCCTTCCCCCTCTGTCTGTGGGAAGCCTGCAGCAATTTTTCTCTGGTATTCACTGTGAGAACTCGATCAAGCTCCTGGAAGTAAAACAAAAGTGTACTGACCCCATATGACTGGGTCCACTTGATTTTTTTTTTTTTGACAGGCAGAGTGGACAGTGAGTGAGAGACAGACAGAGAGAAAGGTCTTCCTTTTTGCCATTGGTTCACCCTCCAATGGCCGCTGTGGCCGGTGTGCTGTGGCCGACGCACCGCGCTGATCCTAAGGCAGGAGCCAGATGCTTCTCCTGGTCTCCCATGTGGGTGCAGGGCCCAAGCACTTGGGCCTTCCTCCACTGCACTCCCAGGCTACAGCAGAGAGCTGGCCTGGAAGAGGGGCAACCAGGACAGAATCCGGCGCCCTGACTGGAACTAGAACCTGGTGTGCCGGTGCCACAGGCGGGGGATTAGCCTATCGAGCTGTGGTGCCGGCCCCCTTGGATTTTTTAACTCAGACTTGCCCATTCTTGGGGCCTGCTTCGTGATGCAGTTGGTTAAACTGCCACCTGCAACACTGGCATCCCACATGGGCATTGGTTTGAATCCCTGCTGCTGTTATTTCTGATCCAGCTCCCTGCTAATGTGCCTTGGAAAGTAGTGGAAGATGGACCAAGGGCTTGGGCTCCTGCACCCACATACATGACCTAGAAGAAGCTCCTAGCTCCTAGCAGTTGTGGTCATCTGGGGAGTGAACTAGCAGACGGGAGGTATCTGCCTCTATCTTTCTAGAATGCTGCCTTTCAAATAGATAAATAAATCTTAATGGTTAAGTCCCAGCAGTTTGTCAATTATAATTAAGCTTTTTCTACCTGTGCTCTTGTTGCCACGGAGGTCTCAGCTCTTGGATTTCTGATCAGGTGAATGAATGATGATTCTGTATCTGCTTGTTGCTCTCTCCTACTGTGAGAGCAGCAGTTTGCCCTGTGACCTCACTTCTCTTAGGGATCTAAGATGACTTCTTTTTACTTGTTAGGCTGGAGTGCTGACTTAAATGCTGGCCTGAAATCCTGATCTTCCTCACTAATAACATTGAACATGTTTTTCCTGTGCCGGTATCACACCTGTCTACTCTTGTTAGTGAAATGTCTCTTCATGTCTTCTGCCGTGTTCAAACTGTGTTTTTTTCTCTCTGTTGAGTTTTGAGAGTTCTTTATATATTTTAGATACTAATCCTTTATTGCGGATGTTGGTTGCACAGATTTCCTTCTGCTTGGAGGCTTGTCTTTTTATCCTCTTACCAGCATGTTTTGCAGAGCAGAAGTTTTTAACTTTGAAACCTAGTATACCAGTTGTCTTATTTGTAGATGTTCCTTTTTATGCAAAATTTGAGAACTCTTTTGTTTAGTCACAGATCTTGAAGATTTTTTTCTCATTTTTTCTGCAGGTTTTATCATTTTATGTTAAGTGTGATCCATTTTTGATTTAGTTTTTTGAGTGTGTGTGATTTGTTAGAAAAAAATCACAGAACTTAAGAAAAGTTGTTATAGTTATGGTTTGTCACAGCCAGTGAATACAGATTTAAATCAATGATGGAAAAAGAAACAAAGGGCAGAGTCTAAGAGACTCCAACTCCAGACTTAACAGTTGTCCTGTCACTGTGGAGTTGTGTGTACAGTACTTAATTTCCCTAGCAATGATGTCTGATAATATGCACGGAGTCTTGCTAACTAGGCAAGCTCACCAAAGCTTTGGTGTCCTTGATCATAGGCATGGTTGGCTGCCCTTGTGGATGACCTTAGTTGCCTACTCTCCAGAAGTCAAGCTGATAGCAGTCGGTCCAGGACCCCACAGTGAGTCATATTACTAGCATAGACTTATATAGTGCCCCCAAGTAAAGGAGGACATTTTTATTAGGCCTAAGTATACACAAATTATCTTTTAGGAGCCAAACAAAGGCTAAACCTTTTTTGAAATATGCAGGATATGGAAAACTCAGACTTGCTGAATTAATCCTTACTGTACAATGTGAGGCATGGATTGAAGTCAGGTTTTTTTTTTAGCTTGATTAATTTTGGGTAGAATGATTACTCTACTTTATTCTTTTTCAAAATTGTTTCAGCTCTTCTGTGTTCCTTTACCATTCTGTATAAGCTTTAAGAATAATCTTGTAGAAAAAAGAATAGAGAACATCTTGGTAAGAATTTGATAGGAATTTGATTATCTGTGTATCAGTTTGAGGAGAATTGACATACTTTATTTACTTTGTTGAGTTTTTCAATCTATGAATGTGATTTGTTTTTCCATTTATTTAGAGCTTTAATTTATCATTTACCAGTATTGAATAGCTTTCAATACACATGTCCTGCACATATGGGTGTGTTAAATTTTCTTAGAGTGATTATTTCTAATTTTGTATTTCTGATTTGTTTTTTATGTATTATTCACATAGGACACATAAATATAATTTTAAATACATTTGCAATACTGGAATGCATTTGATTTTAAAAAATATTTGTTTTGTGTCCTGTTAGCACATGGACCTTGTTCAGTTCTAGGAGTTTTTGGTAGATTCCTTGAGATTTTTGGTGTAGATAATCACATCATCTGTAAATAGGGATAGGCTTCCTTTTTGATTTGTGTGCCTTTTCCCCCCTTTTCTTGACTCACCGTGGTGGTTAGAACATCCAGTACAGTGTGGAATGTGAGTAGCAGGAGTGGGTATCCTTGCCTTGTTTTGGTTCATACAGACATAGCATTCAGTCTTTTAACTGTAAAGTAGCAGCAGCACAGCTATTAGCTGTAGGTTTTTTATAGATGCTATTATTCGAGGTAGTTCTCTTTTATTCTTGTTTGTTGGGGTTTTTACATGAATGGCTGTTGG